TCCCAGAGTGCTAGGATTATAGGCGTGAGCCACCACACCTGGCCAGAAGAATCTTCTTAATTGGATAAATTCATGCTCTATACAGAAATGAGATGAAATTGAGAAAGGCTGTGATTTGAAGTATCTAAAATTGACAAAACATTCAAAACTTAAAAATAGCTTTAACTTCTTTGAACGGTATGATCCGGCAAAAATATTATTATAGAAAGGCATCCTGAACTAGGGCAGAAGCACCTATAAAAATGTCTGGGCTGAAATATTTATGCAATTTCATATGCAAACAATGGGACTGAGAATAGGCTCCGCCTGGCAGAGTCTGCTGAGAGCTTGTCAGGTAGCCAGCACCTGCAGCGGGGATAGCTTCTCTATTAAATATATTAGAGACCAAGAGAAGTGTCAATTGAAAGTACCAATTTAAAAATTTTAACCAGGCCGGGCGCGGTGGCTCACGCCTATAAACCTAGCACTGTGGGAGGCCGAGACGGGTGGTATTGCTTGAGGTCAGGAGTTCGAAACCAGCCTGAGTGAGAACCGTCTCTACTAAAAATAGAAAGAAATCAATTGACCAACTAAAAATATATATACAAAAAATTAGCTGGGCATGGTGGCGCATGCCTGTAGTCCCAGCTACTCGGGAGGCTGAGGCAGGAGGATCGCTGAGCCCAGGAGTTTGAGGTTGCTGTGAGCTAGGCTGACGCCACGGCACTCACTCTAGCCTGGGCAACACAGTGAGACTCTGTCTTAGAAAAATAAATAAATAAAATTTTTAATCATAAAATTTTAAGAAAAAGATTTCGGACAATTACATAGAAAAATTAAAAATAACAAGATGTCATTAAAAAATAAATTCTTTGGAAAAATGTCAATGACATGCTATCAGAGTGAGATAGGAGATTAAGAAACTGACATGGGGATATGCCATAAGAACAATTATTTTGCTAATGTTACTTTTCAATGTTTAGTTAATTAATGTGAAAATGTTTTATTTTTCTTTAACATGCAGTCATGCATCAATTAATTATGTGGCTATGTTCTGAGAAATGTGTCATTAGGTGATTTTGTCATTGTGCACCTACTCAAACCTAGTTGGTGCAGCCTAGTGCACACCCAGCCTATCTGGTCTGGCCCATTTCTCCCAGACTACAAACCTGTACAGCACGTTACGGTTCCAAATACTTTAGGCAATTGTAACACAATGGTAAGTATTTATGTATCTAAACATAGAAAAGATACAGTAAAAATATGGTATAAAAGATAAAAAATGATACATCTGTATAGGGCACTTACCATGAATGCAGCTTGCAGGACTAGAAGCTGCTCTGAGAGAGTGAGTGGGTGAGTGGCAAGTGAATGCGAAGGCCTAGGACATTACACTACTATAGATTTTTTTTTTTTTTTTGAGACAGAGTCTCACTCCGTTGCCCAGGCTAGAGTGCCATGGCATCAGCCTAGCTCATAGCAACCTCCAACTCCTGGGCTCAAGTGATCCTTCTGCCTCAGCCTCCCGAGTAGCTGGGACTACAGGTATGTGCCACCATGCCTGGTAATTTTTTCTATATATATGTTTAGTTGTCCAGCTAATTTCTTTCTATTTTTTTTAATAGAGATGGGGTCTTGCTCTTGCTCAGGCTGGTCTCAAACTCCTGAGCTCAAACAATCCCCCCGCCTCGGCCTGCCGGAGTGCTAGGATTATAAGCAATAGCCACCGTACCCGGCCACACTACTATAGACTTTATAAACACTATATACTTAGGCTACACTAAATTTGTTTATTAGCTAAACATTTTAAAAATTTAAATAGATTTAGGGAGTCCAACGAATTCTATTACATGTATATATTGTATAGTGGTAAATACACTAAATTTTTTAAAAAGCTTTTCTTTCTTCAATGATAAATTAACCTTAGCTCACCATAATTTTTTTACTTTATAAACTTTTAATTTTTAAAAATTTTTGACTCTTTTATAATAACAATTAGCTTAAAGTACAACACATTATACACCTGTACAATAATATTTTCTTTCTTTATGTCCTTATTCTATAAGATTTTTTCTATTTTTAAAGTTTAATTTTAATTTTTTTTTTTTACTTTTTAAACTTTTTTTGTTAAAAACGAAGACAGAAACACACAGGTTAGCCTAGGCCTGCACAGGGTCAGGATCATCAGTGCCAGTGTCTGCCACCTCCCGTCCTGCCCCACTGGAAGGTCCCCGGGGGCAGTGACACACGTGAGGCTGTCATCTGCCATGGTGACGATGGCTCCTCTGGGTACCTCCTGAAGGACCTGCCTGAGGCTCTTTTACAGTTCACTATATTTTTTCATGAGTAGAAGAAGTACACTCTAAAGTAATGATAAAAAGTGTAGTATAGTAAATACGTAAACCAGTAATACAGTCATTTATTACCAAGCTTTATGTAGTGCATACATGATTGCATGTGCTAGACTTTTATACAGCTGGCAGTGTAGTAAGGGTCGTTTGCACCAGCATTTCCACACACAGGTGAGGAATGTGTGGCACTTTGGCGTGACAAATTTTTCAGCCCCATCATGGTCTTATGGGACCGCCTTCATGCATGCAGTTTGTCATCGACTGAAACGTCAGTGTGTGCCCCACGACTCCACACCGGTGTGTATGTATTTAAAGACTTTTTGGAAAATATTTTTTGACTAGAACTACTTCAGAACTCCATCAATGTAATATAGCCAATTTGTTGGTATCTCTGTCTTTCTTTTCTTTTCTTTCTTCCTGTCTCTCTCCCTTCTGTCCTCCTTCCCTTGCTCACTCTTTCTCTCCTTCCTTCCTTCTCCTCTCCTTCCTTCCTTCCTTCCTTCCTTCCTTCCTTCCTTCCTTCCTTCCTTCCTTCCTCTCTTGCCTTCCTTCCTTCCTTTCTTGCCTGCCTGCCTTCCTTCCGTCCTTCCTTCCTTCTTTCCTTCCTTCCTCTCTTTCCTTCCTTCCTTCCTCTTTCCTTCCTTCCTTCCTCTCTTGCCTGCCTTCCTTCCTTCCTTCCTTCCTTCCTTCCTTCCTTCCTTCCTTCCTTCCTTCCTCTCCTTCCTTCCCTCCCTCCCTCCTTCCCTTATTTCCATCTTTCTCTCTCCCTTTCTTCTTCCTCCTCCTTCTTCATTGTCCTATCTCTCTCTCTCTCTCTGTCCATATACATGATTTTTGGTGGAAATAATTTCGACTAGACTAAAACCACTGTGCAACTCCATCAATAAGACCAATTTGTTGGTGAGTGCACACATATACTTCAGGTCGTTTCTGTTCCTGACACATGTCCCCTAAGAGGCCTGTCACTGTGGGGTGTCCCGGCAATGTGGACAACACCTGGCCCAGCCGCCCTTCCCCTAGCTCGCCTCTGATCCAGGCGGGAGGGTGAGGTCTCCGGCTCCCGGTGGAAGGTGGGAATCTGTGTTCTGTGATTGACTGGGTTTCCTCAGGAGAAGGTGTGAGGTCCCAAGCTGAGGTGGGAAGGCGGGGATGAGGGGGGTCTGAGAAGAGAGAGGAGGGCGTGGGGGCTCACCCAGCAGGCTGTGGCACCAGGGGCCCTGCTGAGTTGCAGGGGTGGGTGCAGGTGAGCCCGGTCTCTCAGCTGTGCCTGGCCCCTGCCATGTCCCACTCAGGGCGCAGGCGTGCAGGGAGCTGAACGCTGGGTCTCACCGCTGCAGTGGGCACTGGGCTACTCGGGCCGAGCCCCTCTCCAGGGCCCCCTGCCCCGCTGCCGAGACACGAGCTCACAGCTGCATCCCTCTCTGAGCGTTGCCCTTGGCCTCCAGCAGCTGCCTTGACCAAGGGTCTGCCCCTCCCAAGGGCAGCCCGTAGCCAATGACTGGCCCAGCCCCTAGCCTTGATTTGGGACAGTTCTGAAGGGCCACCCGCTCCGGAGCACCCTGTGATTTCAGCCGGGGCCTCAGGTGCAAGTGCCTGCCTGTCGTGCCCCCGGAGAGCCGCACAGCACACCTGGGCACGGAACCCCGCTGCAGATTCTGTTTCCCGCTGAGCGCTAAGACAGCTGGGGTTGGAGTTTTGCCCAGGGATTACAGAAAGGCAAGAGAGGGCAAGATTTGGGAGGACACAGAGGAGGAGGCGACGTGAAGACAGAGGTGGAGACTGAACTGGTGATGCCTCTGCAAGTGCCAAGATGGCCGGCGGCCCCCAGAAGCAAGGGGGGGCAAGGAGAGACCCTGCCCTGGCACCTGCGGAGGGAGCACAGCCCTGCAGACACCTGGATTTCAGATGTCTGGCCTCCAGAACTGGGAGAGAATACATTTCTGTTACTGTAAGCCACCAAATCTGCGGTCTTTTGTTACAGCAGCCGCAGGAAGCCAACACGCCCAGCAAACCTGGCTTCTTAGACGCTGGGTGGGCAACCCCAGCGCCCCCCGGGTACTGTACGTACTTTGAGGAACTATCTTCTCAGCTGCCCGCCGGGCCACAGGCCATTCCTTCCTGTGACACTTCTCTGCGTGCACTCGGGAAGTCCCATGTGCCAAGGAAGACCTTGTTTAGTCTCATCTCAACCTCCCTCCTGTCCTGGGGCTTCCACCCAGACTTAACCCTTCACAAAAATGTCCCCAGAAAGGGACATTCAAGTTGGCCCACAAATAACCTGACCAGTTCTTGGCCTTATGAAATGCCGTAAGCCATACTGCAAGGACTAATTTGATTTTTGTAAATCAGAATTTGTAGACTGTAGCCGCTCAGAGCCCGGACATGTTTCATTTGACCTTGATATAAAGAACTGCTTCTGGAACCATCCTAAACTGTTCCAAACACTCTCTGTCCTGTTCTGGAAAAGCGATTAAATCTCACACCAGGCATGGAAATAAAAGTCTCTTACACTGATCTAGAATTATTAAAAAGAAACATACACCCACAGAGGCAGAAAATGTTGCCAATATCTAGGCGTACAAGGAAGCTTAATGTTTGATCTTTTTTAAATAAGAAACACAGATTTCCTCTTATATTCCCATAAGAGAAAAAAGATGGTCATTTACTTACTCGGGCAGAAAACGAAAGAACTCACACCTTCAGTTGGACTTTCTGATGATGAGAGCTGCTTTCCGAGGTGCTCTCTGTTCTGGGAAGCTCTGTGGCAATGTGCTTGTCTTAAGTTATATAACCTCCACTCGCATGATGTCACCAGGGGGGATTGCCGAAAAAGTGTGTCTTTCAAGACAGAGAAAGCAAGCTGGGGTTTGGAAAGGAAAATCTACTTTCCTTTCCCTGCGCACTTTGGGAACGGCGAGAGATCATTCAGCTACTATCTCCCTCTTTACTTCAGTAACATCTGGGGAGACTCCCAATCCTGTCCGAGAGCCAGGGCTGGCAAACATGCCCGAAAAACAAGTCTTGGCATCGCTGACTTGGCCCAAAAGGCTCACAAAGCATCGGCGCGCGTTGAGGGATGACGTTCGCCCCATTCACAATCGGCTCCCGAGTGTCTGGGGCTCTGCAGCAGCTCTTTGGGAGCCAACTTGAATGTCCCCTTTTGGATTTTGGTCATGAAGGATACATTGCCAGGAATCCATCAGCGTGGACCCCATTATGCAAACAGAGAGCTAGGGAGAGGTTTGACTCATGCAACGCTCAGAGCTGAGTAAAGTCAGATGCACTTTTCCTTAATCTGGCTTGGCAATGCCGAAGTCCATTTTTGATGTAGGCCTGCATATATCAAGTCGAATTGCTGCTCAGTACTGCGAGTTCCAGACAGCAAGAAATTTCTGGCCTTCTTTGAGAGTCAGGCAGCAAGACCCTCCAACTGAATGCCATTTACCTGCCCTCTTCACTCCTAAAAATCAAGATGTTTCCAGCCCCCTTCCTATAGCAGAAGAACCCATTCATGCCAGAATTCAGGGCTCAGATTCTGGCTTCCGGAAAAGCGATTCCCCAAATGTCTGCAATGGAAGATCGTCACACGTGTCCTCAGAATCTGGCCTTTTGCTGTATTTCCTTTTTCCGTTGCTGACACCTCAGTGGGGACACACTGCACTTTTAAATTTTCTGACAGTTTTCTCCTGTTGATGGAGATCTTAACATTGGGAGGCAGGAAACAGAGTTCATGTTCTGAGGCCCAGCAGCAGACCTGAGTTTCAGGGAGGAAGCTGGGATCCTTCCCAGGAGAAGGTTCTTTCCTACCCTGAGAGACCTCTTCGGGGGACTTTCTTAGTCCCGCACATGCTAGGCAAATGTCTCCCGTGGATTCCGGGCTAGACTTGAACCAGAGAAGGTTCCAGATTCCTGCTTTTCCCATTGTTTAGTAACCTAGGTCGGGGCCTGGCTGGCCAGTGGTTGGCTTTTTCTCCCCTCAGTCTGAGTTTAGACTGGACCGTTTCTGAGAGGCATTTGTCCGTGGGCGATGTCTCCCTGCCCAGTAATTATTTACTCGTCGGAGAGCATGAGGCAGCTCTGCCAGGAGGAGGGCAGTGCAGGTCTGACCTCGGCTTTGCCTCACGCAGGAAGACAGACCGTGGGGAGAGCTGTCCCAGCGTAGCAGGGCCAGGGGGCCCGGCCTCCTTGCTGCCATGTGGGCCATTATTGAGGGCTGAGTAAGCTCCGCTTCGGAAATGAGTCTATGGCGGACTTGCCAAGGCCGTGGGGACCCCACCCTGGGGGTGGACAGTTAAGTTTTTGTTTTTTTTTTTTTAAGAAAACAGACTTCCCCACTGTCGTTCACAGGGGATTAGAAACAGAAGCAAGCCCTGGCCCGGGGGGGCAGAGGGTCTCCCCCCGCCTCTGGGGCTGTGGGGAGTGGGGCAGCGGGCAGGGTGAGGGGACCTCAAGTCTATGAAGGGAAAACTGGCCCCTGCAATGTGGCAGAAGACAGGAGGGGCTGAGCAGCGGGCCGGCAACGGGAACCCTCTGCTGGGGCTTTCTTTGCTTGCCTTTTCTGAATACGGTTGCCTTTGTGGTTCCCATGTCTGGGAGGCCTGGTTAGACCTTATAGTCCGGTGTGAGCTGCACTTGGTAAACGAACCCGGGGTACTTGGGTAAGGAGGTGGCCAGCGGAGGACCCAGAGCTGCCTTCCAGAAATAGAAGACAACGCGGCCAGCTCAGTGGGACAGGCTAACCTTCCCTGGGGGTGTCCTTCACACCAGTGGGGGGTGCCCTGGGCAGGCTGGGCCCCCCCAGGTACGTGAGGGCATGCGCTGTGCTCGATGCATGTTCGCGGGAAGGTGAGCTCTGGGGTCTGAGATGCACGGGGACATGTGGTCCCGGGCCCCACTGTGACACGAGGGCCACCTTCCAGGTCTCCAGGAGCTCAACTCGGGAGCCATTTTCTCCTTTATTTTTCTAGTCAAATCCCGCAGGTTCTTCAGGATGAAAGACTCTAGCAGGGGTCACTCAGCACTTGTCGGACAGGAACACTGACATGCTGGGCACCTCCAGGCGTCTCGGTCCTTTCAGCGGCAGATGATGTGCCTGTTACCGTCACAGCTTGCAGACGGAGGCAAGAAAACCACAGCCGGGCAGACGCTTGACAGGATGAAAGGCAGCATCCTATTAGCTTATTGAGTACGAAATGTCTGATTTCCTTAAGTGCTAAGTTTGGCAGTTGACATCTCTAACGTTTCACTCGGACACTTCTTGTTTTATTTTTGTTGTGGAGGTACATCCTCAGTCTTGCAAGCGCATGGTTTGGCGTGCGATTATATTTCAATTTTTTTTTTTTTTAGAGCAATTTTTATGAAAGCATGGATAAGTTGAAAATTCTTGTTCTTTTCAAGTGTGAGTTCTGTCGTGGAACCAGTGCAGCACAGACAGCTCGAAATATCAAAGAAGTGTTTGGGAAGGACGTGGCTAATGAACACATAGTGTGCTGATGGTTAGAGAAGTCCTGTTCTGGTGATTTTAATCTTGAAAATGAGCCACATGGGTGACCTGAGACCAAGGTGGATGATGATGAGCTGAGAGGTGTCGTGGAAGCGAATCCATCTCGACCTGTGCATGAGTTAGCGCAAGGTTTGATGTTCCTATTCCAACGATACTGCACTATTTGAAACACATCAGCAAGGCAAAGAAGCTGGATAGAATGGCCTCGGTGTGAATTATTAATAAACAAGTGTCATAAGAGTAATCACGTCTTGAAACTTGCCTTTCTTTGCTGTCATGATATAAAGGCTACACCATATTATTACTTGTGATGAAAAATGGACTCTTTTTGACAATTGAAAGCATTTGGCACGGCCAGGCGCGGTGGCTCACGCCTGTAATCCTAGCACTCTGGAAGGCCGAGGCGGGCGGATTGCTCAAGGTCAGGAGTTCGAAACCAGCCTGCAAGATACCCCGTCTCTACCAAATATAGAAAGAAATTAATTGACCAACTAAAAATATATATAGAAAAAATTAGCCGGGCATGGTGGCGCATGCCTGTAGTCCCAGCTACTCGGGAGGCTGAGGCAGTAGGATTGCTTGAGCCCAGGAGTTTGAGGTTGCTGTGAGCCAGGCTGATGCCATGGCACTCACTCTAGCCTGGACAAGAAAGTGAGACTCCGTCTAAAAAAAAAAAAAGCATTTGGCACGATGAGAAGTTCTGTTCGTTCTGTTATCCAACAATGGTTGGATAAAGATGAAGTGTGGAAACACAGTCCAAAACTGAAAATTCATCAAAAAAAAAGTTCATGGTGTCTGGGTGGTCCAGAGCTGGTATTATCTCCTACAGCTTCATGAAACCTGTTCAATCGATGACAGCAGATGTCTACTGCAACCAACTGGACGAAATGATGAGGATGCTTGATATTAAGCAGCTGAGATTGGTCAGTAGAGACAGGCCCATCCTCTTGCAAGATTAACTGTCAACCACATGTTGCATGAGCAGCGCTGCTCAAACTACAGAGCCTGGACTGGGAAACTCTCTGTCATCCACCGTATTCACCAGACCTTGCATGAACGTCAACTACCACTTCTTCAAGGCTTTGGACCACTTCTCTCAAGGAAAAATATTCAATTCTCAACAAGCTTTGGAAACGCCTTTCACAATTTCATTGTCAGTCGCTCTCTAGGCCTCTTCATTGCTGGTGTAAACAAGCTACCACTAAGGTGGAAAAACTGTGTTGATAGTTTAGGCCCGTACTTTGATTATTTGTACTGCCTCTTGTTTGAGATACAATAAACTACGGTTTTGGTTTGAGATCGGACATTTCAGATTTAATGACCTAATAATTTTGGCGCGGCTGGTGCTCTTACGCCTCTGTTGTTCACAGCTGTCTGCAGTCACACCTTTCTTCCTGCCACACAACACACACAGCCTGCAACAGAGGGCTCGAAACCAATCTCCTCCTGGCCTTTTCTTTCTTTTCTTTCAGTCTATCCTTCTGCCAGATCAAAATTTCGAAAACACTTGGATTTTGTCACTTCACAAGACAGCGGCCCAGCCCCTTGGAACTCACAAACTCCGCCGTGGTCTTGCTGCAGCGCCCAGGGCCACCCCCTGTGGGCAGTGGGCGAGGCAGGGGCTCCAACGCCTGTGGGTGCTGGCTAAGGACGGCCCCCACTCCCGTCTCCCCGGCGAGCGCTCATCCGTCATTCAAGCCCTGGCTTAACCCCCTGCTCCTGTCCAAGCGCAGGGTCTGGGGGTCCATCCCTTTATTCTACAAACACATGTGGGGCACCGACCTGGTGCCAGGCAGGTGCCCCCTTAGAAGGGCATGTGGCGTCTGCCACCCAGGAGGCAGGGAGAGCAGGGTGTCAAACGTAAGGGACATGAACATAAAACCCTAGGTGTAGGTTTCCCAGAGCATGAGGAAATCTACGGGAGACAGTAAAGCATTCAGCTGCTGCACGTGCTGCCCGCCCGAGTGGATGGCCTGGCCGCCAGCCCAGAAGGAAGGGCTCGGGGTGCCCTCGCTGGGGGGAGAAAGTGCCCACTCGGTAGAAAAAGCTCCGCTGGGCCACGGGTTTCATGGACCAGAAAAGTTAAAAAAAAAACAACCCAAAACCCCACAAAGTTCCATATAAAACCCTCTGTCCCTGCGCTGCCCTGCGTGGGAGGCGAAGGCGTTTCCACCCGGGCAGGGTCTCGCCAGAGCCTCCTGCGGGGGCGGCGGGAGAGTCCCTTGAGTGGACACAGTCCCGGCCCCGGCCCGGGAGGAAACGCCCCTCGGGCAGCGGGCGGAAAGGACCATACCAGGGACGCTCGGCTGTCTCTCTGTCTTCCAAAGGCCGAGTCGGGACCTGTCGCATCTCCACCTGACAGCGTCTGAAGCTCGTCTCAGGTGCAGGAAACACTGGGACCTGACAGTGGCCGGCGAGGTCCCACCTGCCTCCCTGAGCACCCCCCTCACCGACCTGCCCGCTCTCCCCCTGAGCTCCCCCGACCTCCTCGCCTTGTTTAGAACATGCCACGGCCTCCCCCACCTCAGGGCCTTGGCACTGCCTTGCCCCCCGCCGGAGCACCGTCCCACAGAGAGCCTCACGCGTGCTCCTCGGGGCCTTCCGGTCCTCACAAAGCCCCCTTAACAGAGACAGCCCTCCCCTGGGACAACCTGTCCTCCCCTTGCCCCGCTGTACCGTCCTTCCCCCCACACCTGCTGCATGCCGCACGTGGTGCGCTTGCTTGCTGCTTCCGGTCCCCTCCCTAGAACGCGAGCTCCACCAGGCGAGGCACCTGTCTCTTTTGATATGGGTCGTACCCCCAACTCCTACAGCAGAGCTGGTATGTAGCAAGCGCTCAAATACTTGCAGAATGTATTCACAACCCTGTTTATTTACATATAAGAATAGCAGCAGATTTTCTTATGTCAACGGATACGTCCTGAAGCACTTGTTCAGACCCGGGTGGGCACAGGGGTGCCGAGACGAGCAGAGCCCTGCTCTGCTTCCCTGAGAGCTCTCAGTCGGGCTGAGGACAAGGACAGGCTGACGGCCAGTGACAATATGCCATGGAATGCAGTGACAACGGAGTGCCAAGGCTCTGAGTACGAAGACCAAAAGGATTGGCTCTGCTCGAGGCAGAGCGTGATGGGTGATTTTATGTGTCGAGGTCACTGGACCACAGGGTGCCCAGATATTTGTTTAAACATGATTTCTGGGTGTGTCTGTGAGGGTGTTTAACCCTCCTGCTTTAATTCAAACCGATTAACGTTTGAATGGGTAGACCGAGGAAAGCAGTTGTCCCCTCCGCTGTAGTGGCCTCAGCCGGTCTCTCAGAGGCCTGAATATCCCCGAAAGGAGGGGGGAGGGAGAATTGGTGCTCTCTGCCTGGCTCTTTCCAAGCTGGGAAATCTGTCTCCTTCTGCCTTCTCACC